AACATAATTGTAGATTATGTTTGAAGACATCTGTGAAACTTGATTTCTCCCTATTGTAGTACCTGTTGTCTAGATCTTGTGAAGTTTCTTGGAGCCAATCAAATCTTGTATAGAGGTAAAATTAGTAGTTCAAGGGTCAAATAATACAATATGTTTGTTATATGGCATGTTGCTGTGCCTTATTTTCGGCTTTATCCTAGAGTAGGTCAATGTACCCCAATTTGGAAAGGGACCACAGTGCACTAGGATGGGAGGAATCAAGCCTTCCTACTGGCCAATGGCTTCCCAAAATCCACCCCACACATGAGAAAAAAAGTATCTAGAGACTTCCCTCCTCACTCCTGCCTTAGGGGGAAATTATCAGGAAGAGTCAATTCCTAACACTGTTAAGGTTAATTCTCCTGACAGCACAAGCCTTTGCAGGACTACTTGAACGTAAGGCAATGGGATTCATTCCTTAGCAATGGCACTTAGGATGCAAGGCTAAATCCTATCCTATCGAAAGCAGCATGGTATGAGGGAACTCTGATGAACTGCTTTGGGGCACAAGTGGAACTTGCGAGGGGCCAGAAGCCTGCACAGTGCCCCTTTCTGCTGCCCAAGATGCACGTAAAGTGAGACACACAACTGATTGTGCTTCCTTCCAGAAGGCATCTCCTACCTTCAACCTTCAGTATCTGAGTGAGAATATCCACCGGAACCTCTTCTCCCTTCTGGATAGCTTTGCGCCGCTGCTCGATACACTCCTTGCCAGTGTGTCGCAGGAGCCTGACGCTTTCCTGAATCTCTCTCACCAGTTTTCTGTTCCACGGCAGGTACTAAGCAGATAAGAGAAGCTGTCAGGAAGTTGGCCGTGCAGAGCAAGGTGCAGCCCTAGCCAGACAGGACTGTTAGCCACCATCTCCCCTGTGAGAAGGTTCTGCTAGTCCACGGTAGAGCACCGGTGGTGGAACTCTCTGCCCAGGGAGAATGAGGAACCCAGGCTGCTCACTCCTCTTCTTCTGAATGGTGGCAAAGGCTTGTCACATAACACATTTCTTGGATGAGAAAAGCTTTCACTGACCTCAAACAGAGGGACACGCGAATTGCTCAGACCTTCGTTGACCATATTCACAGCATGTGGAAAAGGTGTTTGGTCGTCATGCAGGGTCTTCAGCTCTAGGCCGAAAGCTGCCTGATAATATCAAGGAAAATTAAAATAGATTTGTCTGAGACATCCATATCTGGGAGGATGGGCTGCTGTATACATATGACATGGTATTTCCTGTGTGAATTCTGGCTGTTCTCTTTTCCTCCAGAAAGGGCAACTGTCCCATCTAGTACAAGAACAACTTGCACTTTGTATTGGCAGAATCCCACCCACTTAGAGTGGAGTGTCAGAGGGTTGGGCCAACATTTTTCATTGGAAAGTTTTCTGGTCAAGTTCTCCAGGTGTTGGACAATTCGCTCTTTCCTCTTACTAAAGTAGTCCATAAGCCTCCACCCATAGATGGGAGCTCACTCAGATGTTTCTTGTGCAGATTATTATTGCAATCACTGTGCTAGACAGGCATAGTGTTGAAGACCTTCCCACCAGCTCTATCAGCCTGAAGGAAGCAGGAATCCCAAAAGTGTTGCAGGTGAATTCAACTCCATCCCCTCCTTTAATAAATGTCTGTGTTGTGCTGCCGTCTGTCTGTGGTCCTGGCCTGCATTTGCCCCAGGGTTCTTGCTGCTCCTTAGCATCAGCAGGCAATGCCTCCATGCCTACCTTTGCAATGATGTCCAGTGTCACCCGTCTCAGCAAGTTCATCACATCCACTTTGGTTTCTCCATCTGCTTTTTCCGCCAGCACCTTCATGAGCTCTTCTGCTTGATCATCAAAGATTCCCATTAGGCCCATCAAGTAACTGGATAATAAAGAAAAAATTTAAGAACATTGTGTTTATACAAGAAGCTGTTGTTTGTCTAAAGATGGGTTTCGGAGTGATAGACTTTCAAGAGTGAAGATTGATAATTTCACCTGCTATGAAGAAAATGTATACACGTGGCTGTGCATACACAAAATTTCTTGCATGCAAACACAGGGCAGACATATATACATAATTCAAAAGTGCCTTACACACGAACCCCACAGAGGTCTGGTAAAAGGCATCCCTTTGTTTCCCTCCCTCAACCCATGCAAGGGACAAGCAGGAGAGAACAGTTTTCTGTCTCCTGCATGCCCATCTTTTCACTTTTAACCAGCAAAGTTACAATATGCAGAGAAGCTGTGACTCATACCCTGCAAGCATATGATCCATAAAGACCAAAGAGTTTGGTTCACCTCCATTAGAAAGAACGGGTGAGCACAAACATGATGATGACATTCTTAACAATCTGAAATGTAAAATTACCATCTAGTTGATTAGTTAAAATATAAGTGAATGGCTTACAGGGAACCACCCTGCCAAGCTGATCTTGCACAGATCTGTGCACACCAATCATAACCCTCTCTTTGATGCATATATTTGTGTGACCCAGCATCAACTGAAATGCTTCATCTCGGAATTGCAGGCATCCAGAGCAGTTTTGCTGAATCATTCCCTGCTGGGCCCGGTTTGCTGCCGCCCTTAGCTTTCAGTTATGCAACACTTTTTCAGTTATACCAATGTTAGGATGAACATGGCAAAATTGTATTCACCCTGATCCATAAATTCTGGGTTTCTGCTCCTTCTCTGATTCTTGTCCGACAGTGCACAAACAAAACCTCATCCACTAAGAGCTTATGTATATCGTAGTGCAAGGGTCCCTGAGGTTTTTGGGCCTGGGGGCACATTTGTAAATTTGAGGGACTGCCAGGGGCACATCTAAAAGACTCCCAGGCTTGTGACTCGTCACATAATGACTGCTGCCGGGACTTGACCAGGGGTCCTGGGGAGAGCAATATTGAAGCTATAGGCTGGGAAGATTTGCTTCCTGGACTTCCTGCTACATGTCCACGTGTTTCCCCCTTGCACTCTCTCATTGTTTCCACTCTCAGTCTTTGAAGGGGGGAGGGAGAGAGGAGGGTTTTGGGGAGTCACTGGGGGCCACTAGGGGCTGCTGTGGGCCCTACATTGGAAATCCCTGTCCTGGAGAGCCAAGCTAAATTTCATGCTTTTCTTGCCTGTTTAGATGAGGGGTGGGGGATTCTTCTGGCAGATCTAGACAAGAATGATTTAAACGGCATATATATTTAGAAATGGGTGAACTGTCCTGGGCTGGTCTTGCACTGGAGATTATTTGTGTCCCCACCCAAATCCTCAATTCATGGAAACAAATTTGTTGACTTCCAAGCCAAACCAAGGGGCTCCTGAAATGAAGAAATGTGTTAGGAGCCCATCAGGAACAGGCAGCAGGTCAGGAGTGAATTTAGGATGTTCACACATGCATCACTGAAAAAGAGGAATTACATGAGGGCAAATTTAGAGGCATTATTTTGAGTTGAACAGGTATACATTTACACAGTGGGGAAGTCTGTGCACAGGTGAGCTGGGTAGCTACCTCTTCAGTCTGCCATGTCCAGGTGCCAACTGTTGATAGATCATTTCAGGGGGCCCTTTCTCCTGTTTTATTATTCTATATTTCAACTAGAAATCTAGTTTATTTCTTATTTATTATAGTTATATCTTGCTTTTTTCTAACACTGAACTCCAAGTGGCTTACCTCATTCCTCTCCTCTTGCTCTCAATCTTATCTCCACAACAACAACCCTGTGAGGTAGGTTGGACTGAGAGTCTGTGACTGATCCAAAGTCACCCAGTTGGCTCCATGGCTGAGCAGGGAATAAAACCCAGATCGCCTTTGTTCTAGACCCTACACCACATTAGAGTTGGCCAGGACAGTCCTCAATTAGAGGATGCCTTCAGATAGAGGATGGTCCCCTGGCTATTACCTGGCTATCAAGTTGCCTGTAACTTGGCAACCCATGATTGAATAACCTCCAAAATGTCCTGTCCTTGACAGCCCTGCTCAGGTCTTGTCAACTGAGTCCCATGTCAACCTTTCAACAGGAGGAGTATCCTCTGTAAAAGAGAATGCATGACCACCCTCATTAAGGGCAATGATCCTTAGGATCTGAGAGTCTTCTCAAGGACTGCATTTTAAGCTGGTTAGTCTTTTGCATTGCTTTTGCACTGCCTTTTAGTGTTCTTCTATCGGTGTTTTTACAGACTTTAATGTGTTTTGTGCTTATACTGTCCACTTTTTGATGAATGGAGAATTGGAAACATTCAAGTAAAGAAATAAGGATCACTCTTCTTTCAGTTCTGATGTGCCAGAGAGCTTCGGCTGATTCATCAGCTGCGCCCCTATCTGGAGTACGACAGCCTCGCAACAGTGACTCATGCACTGGTGACTTCCCGTCTTGACTTCTGTAACGCGCTCTACGTGGGGCTGCCCTTGAAGACGGTCCGGATACTTCAATTGGTTCAAAATAGAGCTGCCAGGCTGCTGACGGGAACTGGACGTTATGCTCACATGACTCCAGTTCTCCGTCAGCTTCACTGGCTTCCCATTGAAGTCCGGGCCCAATTCAAGGTGTTGGTGATGACCTATAAAGCGCTAAACGGCTTGGGTCCTGGTTACCTGAAGGAGCGCTTACGTCCATATATGCCCAGCCGCCCCTTGAGATCAGCAGGAGAGGCCCTCCTCCGGGAGCCCTCAGTGAAGGAAATTAGGAGGGTGGCTACTCGGAGGAGGGCTTTCTCAGCAGTGGCGCCTAAGTTATGGAATGCGCTCCCCAGAGAGGTCCGCCTGGCGCCGTCGTTATTTGTTTTTCGGCGCCAGGCAAAGACCTTTTGATTTAAGCAGCATTTTAAATGTTAATATTATTGAATTTTATTTGGCCAGGGCGGCTTATTTTAGTTTACTGTATATATTTTAATTGTTATTATTTTAATGTATTTTGTATTTGATGTTGTAAGCCGCCCCGAGGCCTTGGCAAGGGGCGGCATAGAAATGTTTAAATAAATAAATAAATAAATACCAGGAAGACAAAGAGGAAGGGGGAAGTCCTTCTGCCCTCTCTTTCCCTTTGACCCCACCTGTAGGTAATTACAAGGAAAGTTTTTTTGGAAATGGCAGCCAGAGACCATGGTTGTTTGAACTTTTAGAATACTGGGCTAGACTTGAGAAGGGTTCAGAGAATGGGGAGGTCTTGAAGCCAGAAGTTTCTTTACAAACCAGAATTTGGTGGACTTCCTTGGCATTTCCTTCTATAAAACCTTTAAGGCTTTGCTTTTGCTAGAAAATGAACAAGTTAGTTGTTCACCATTTGCAAGACAGCTTAAAAACTGCTATGGACTCAAAAGGGGACTATCCATGGCTCTCTCTGGTCAATGTGAGGGACTGGAGCTTCTCAGTGTTGCTGTCTGTCATTTCATGCATCTGGAAAGCTTGTTTTTGGGCAAACAGCTCTGCTTTTGCAACCCAACTGCACGAACATGCTGCTTTTCAGAGCAGTGGGAATGATCCTGCACCATGCTCAGACCCCCAGCAATATAATAGCAAAGAATGAAGTTAAGCTGAGCTCACTGGGAAACACATTTAATATAGGCTGGAAATTTTAATGGATTGAAGCCAACAGAAAAACAGCTAGCATTATTCAAATAAATATTTTTGCCTCACGTTCGCTTGAAAGCAGGTTCTATCATTCTCCGCTGCTGGAACCAATGCTGATGGTTAAGGGCAGCTGTCAAGCCAGTCCCTAAAAATCTAAACAAGGTAGAGAGAAAGTGTGTTATTTCATGCACAATTCAGATACCATAGTTTGACATGCTGTGCTAGTGGGGCAAACTAGCACTGTGTGGTTGCATCAAAAACCCATCCCAGACTGCTATAGGTTTACCCACTAGTTCCCTTCCCCATTTCCAAATTTACCCTAAACTTAGTCTGACATAAAGTCTAAACTAAGCAAAATGTTTCATGGTAACTTGTGCTAGTAGCACTAACCAACTCTTCATGAAAACTGACAATTTTACAGCACAATCCTATGGCCCAAAGACAGTGTCTAGACAACCACAGGGTTTTTTTGGAGTCCCATCATCTGTAATGTGCTCAGAACTCAGAACATCCCTCGCCCATGGAATGAATTATGCTTGGTGTAGCTTTGAGATCCTTCTTGATTCAGATTTTGGGAGCAGGGGAGCAAGAAAGGGAGGAGACAGGCTCTGCCAGCGTACAACTATCCAGGATCTTCCTTGCATCCTTTCCTGCACTGAGCACTTGGCAGCTCCAAAACTGGCCATCTACATGTTTTGTATGGAGGAAGCATGGCAGTCTTCACCTCCATATTTCTCCCACCATGCACCAGATGCCCATAATCCTCTGAGTTTGAAGAGTTATGGGAAGTCTCATGGGTTTGTGTCCTTAGCTGATTATTGTTGTCCTATACATCATGCATACCTGAGCTTCAGATTAACCTACCTCACACCACACAGATTATAAAGCTTGCCATATATCATTGGGTCCTTTGAGTACTCTGCCGACATCAGGTACTCCTAAAATTAAATGTTCTGTTGAGTCCATGATCAAACACAGTTAACAGCATCTTCTTCCCCAGCCTTAATCTCCTCTCCAGCTTAACAGGTCCCAGAGGCAGAGGTTCCCTTTCCAATTATTTGACTCCTGTTATTCCAGGGCCTGCAGGTGAGAAGGCTGCCTCTACCTGACTCCTCTACTGCAGAGTGTACTAATAAGAAACAAGCTGCTTCTCTGGGGGGACAGAGGCACTTACTAGGGTTTTATGGGGACTGACTGTTGCTGACTCAACAGCTCTCCCTGGCTGAGCCTCGGCCAACTTGGAGCTCTCAAAAGCTCTGAAAGGTGCTGCCAGATCTAATCTTGTCTTACTGTTCAGCAGAGTGGACTGGATAGGGAAGAATGAAGGCACATACTGCTCCATATAGTCAGAGAGCCACCAAACACTTAACCAGATATACTTCTTATGTTTTATGCTTCTCATATAGCAAAGGTGGTTCTCATATAGGATGGACCTACCTGAGGTTTTGGCCTTTGGGGAGGAACTACCTGGGGAAGGATATGACTTTGAGGAGAAGGGCTATGGGTCTTCCAAAACAAAATGGATGGGAAAAATATATCCTGCATCTGATAATGTTCCTCAATGTGGAAGGGCAGTCATGATACTACTTATTTATTTATTTAGAATTTTTGTATGCCGTCCCATTTGCATGAGCCTCAGGACGGCTTGTCACGATGTTAAGTTCCCATGCAACTTCAGAGTAACTTACTTGAACATAAGTATGCTGAGGTTCTCTTCTGCAATCACTGAGTGACTGCTATGGGGTTGTTTTGCATGGCAAATTGCCCCTTTTATTTATACCTATGAATAGATGCATACTGTGATTTCTAATTTCATTAATCTATAAAGAAGATTATATCACTCTTCCAACAAAGAGAAACAAATCAATTCAAGTGGAAATTGGCTGACTGGGCATCCTTCACATGACTCTGTTCCCCTCCAAAGTACTACTCATTGCTAGACCAGTTTGGAATAAAGATCAATGTTACATTTAACAAAATAATGACCAAAAGCCAACTGAAGAAATGTATCCTGTGTTACTCCTACTTTGAAATTACTTGGGCTTACATTAGACTCCTATGAGAGACAACGCATTAAGGGCATTAATATTCATGATTTAGTTTTTGTTTTCTTTTGAATGAAAGTTGTAGATAGCTCAACTGAATCATGCCAGGTGACAAGTCTGAAAGTTAGTCATCATCTGATGTGTTTTTATATACCATCAGCTTATTACTTAAATAGTAAATAGCAGTTATTAAATATTACTCATCGAAGAACCTCAATGGCTGCTGCAGAGGTTGGAATGGTGACCCAGGAGAAGGGATTTTGTGGGCACTCTGGGGGTGAAGAGGGGAGAGGAACTGAAGGGCCACGTTCTGGTGGTGCCTCGACCTCTTTCCTTCCCCTTCTAAAGCACTACTGTCAGGAGAAAACTAGCAAATTGCTTTCCAGGGAAGGAGGAAGCAACCCTCACAGGTCGGGTCCCATAGGATGCCCATAATCCTCTGTGCTTAGACAATTATGGGCAGACTCACTGGACTTCACCCTGAATGGTTTATCTATGTCTGTCTGAAGTCATGCATGGCCACATCCCTGCCAGGGATGCTTTAACTTGGAGTCCTGCACTAAGCAGGGGGTTGCATTCAATGGCCTTATAGGCCCAGGTCTATTACTGTGTGATTCACATCTCTAATTTCAGCCATGAAGCAGAGATCTGTGTTCTGTGATTTCTCACTCTACACTACATTTGCCTTCAGCCTCAGAGGGAGAATGTTTCATAACGTACCTTTGTTCCTTCAGGACTTAATACTAACAGCGCAACTTTGTGAAAGGCATTCAATCGCACAATTGGTCCATATTCCTCAGCCCTGTGCAAAAAAAGTAACAAAACAATTGTTTGATTTTTTTTTTTAAAAACAACTCTACATGAAACTGAGCAATTCTGCTGAAAGAATTTCTGTAGCTCTAGAATGTTAAGGGCTGGAAGTTCAACCACCCACCTCATTGAAAGAAAAGGTAAGAACACTGTCTGTAAGAAATGGTGATGCTAATGGGCGGCTTTTAATCAAATCTAATAAATAAATAAATGACCATCCAGTCTTTGCTTCAATCCCTCCAGTGAAGAAGAACCCACCACTTCCTGAACTAATCTGCTCCAATGAGAAACAGCTTTTACCATTAAGACATTTCCCCTGCTTAGCCAAAACCCCTTGATGGCAGCAGTTTATTGCATTTAGCCATAGGCCATTACAAGTTAAGAAGGTAAAACATTGAATTAAACCATAAAACCATAAATCAAATCAAACTGCCTGCTGGCAGTTTCCACCTATTCTTCCCAGTCCTGCCCTATAGAGCAACAGAGAATGGGTCTATTCCACCTTTAACCATGATTAGTCTTTATGTAACAATTATTTAAGATTCATCCAGCTAAGATTGCTCTTTCAGTTTAGGAGAGTCTCCTGTTTTATTGTTAGGAATTTTACCAGTTTTCTTTTACGTTTCTTTGGCACTGATATATTTTATGGTGGTTATACTTTTATTACAAATTACACTAAGTAAACTTTGGGTGGGGTGTTCATTCAGAAATATTTGCAACAAGAACAACATTTGTGTTTGTGAGGTCGGTCTGCATGATAGTGCTTACCTTTCTGGCAACATGCATCCACAGTACCAAGGAATACAAGAAGAGGCAGCCCTGCCATGGGGCAAGGGGAGGAGGACACCTCTGGCAGCAGAGCTCGGCACCATTAATGATGGCAGAGCCGAAAAGCGGAGGAGGGTTCCTTATACCAAGGCCAGCCCATTGTGCCATCTTGAAGACCATTTCCTGCACTGCAGGATTTTAGGTAGGAGTCTCCCAACCCCTGCCTGCAGGTGCCACGGATGCTCCCCGGGCATCCTTGGATTTTGCATCCAAGCCACACTGCCTGCCTCTGAGTTTGGGCTCTTCCCTTAGGACAATGGAGAGTTGTCTCACGTGCAGAACAGGCCTGCGTGCACCAGTTGCTGCGGAGCCTGGGCAGGAAGGCGCAGTTGCACCATGCCCTGCTAGAGGGATATGAGCTGGTCACTATGGGCGCAGTGCTGGCCCGGTGGGCCCTTGGTCTCACCCAACAGGGCTTCTCCTGTGTTCTCGAGAGCTGACAGGGGAGTGCCCCAGGGCAGCTCCTACTCATTTCAGTGAAGCTTGTTCAGGAAAGGCCTGTGGAGATGTTGACTCACGCAAACTCATTTTGGCATGGGGAAAAGCGCCACTTGGATTTTCTGCCTCGGCCACCCAAATGACTTTCACCAGCACGAGAGTAATTATACCCACCAACATTTCACCCTGTTCTCATACCAAAGCACCCTCTTGGAGCATTGCTTCCCATGCTCTATAGATGGAACTGGGAGCTCACCCCTAAATTTCAGCATCAGCAAAAGGTGATCATTTGAGATTGCTATGTCCCCTACTGGGTGAGTTTGTTTCTACTTTGGAAAAGATTCTTGACTACATTGGCTTAAATAGGAGTGAAATCAAGAGTGAGCTCTTATTTCAGACAATCTGCATGACTGAAAATAACTTACCATTGTAGAAAGAGATCGTAATACTGTCCCTGATTTTTAAGCAATTTCAGAACAACTGGCAGGTGTCCAAGGAAGAAGCTGCAATGTAAGCAACAACTCAGTAAGCATAAAATGCCACTGGGGGTAGTGGGAGGAAGCAGGATTTTTATTTATTTTTTGCTCTGCTGAATTCCTTTCACATTCACACAGCATAGAAAACTTTGCACGACCACAGCTGCAGATTAATTTCAAGAGTGCAGCAGAGGCAGCTTTTTCTCACCCCACTATTCTTTAGATGGGCATTGAATGAGGAGAGTGGATTCTATGCAGAGGGTCTTTTGCAGAATGCTATTCCCAGAAAGGTTCACCTGGCACCCATGCTCTTCTCTTTGCAGCACAAGTGCAGGCTTTCTTATTTTTCTAAGCTTCTTGATCTTTCAGTTGTGTTGTTTAAATGTTTTATGGTGCATTAAGATAGAAAAAAGTTCTATAACTCCCAATATTCCTTAGAAAACTATGTTGCCTGGGAAATGTTGGAAGTTTTAGGACTGTTTTCTGTGTACACAAGCATAGGATTGCACACTTACTGCATTTTTAGATCTTTGAACTGCCACCGGTCATTTGTTTTTTGTTTGTTTGCTTTATATGTAATGTTTTTATACTATGTTCTACTATGTTATTGTGTTTTATGCTTCTGCAGATTGTTTTCTGAACTATCTAAGCTTCATCTATTGTGAAATTTAAAAATCTAATAAATAAAAATTTAAAAACAAATTAATTGCCTTTACAAATCTTTCCTGTATCATGTTGCTAACTCCAAATCTGAGTATATCATATAGTTGTGAAACATCAGCAAAATAAAAACAAGAAAGAAAGAACTTCTGCTGCCTTCTGGTCAATCCATTTACAATGGATCTGCCACTTTAGTCAGTTTTGGAATCTCATTTGCTTCTCTGTCTAAATAGATATTAAGTTCTATGCCTACAGGAAGATATAGAGTGCCTTGCACAGTTTCTTCTGTTAGGGATCCGTGCCATATAAAGTCATATCAATTACACTTTGATCCATTTTGTCATGCTAAATCGACTTCATGGGGCAGCCCAGATCTAAGAATTACTAAGACAATATCACTGTTATAGATACAGATAAATAAGGATCATCTTTTGGTTGGTATTCATGGCTTCTTGTCATTTGCTCTGTTAAGCAACACAGATTTGCCAGCAACTGCTAAATGGCAATACTGACAATTGTAGCATTTGCTAGGATCTAGGTTTGGCCCAGTGCAGTCTGTGTCATTATTGGAAGTGCTTTTAAAGCTGCTTAGACAAAGTGATCCATGATCCATGTCTATAAATATTTGCAGTGAGTGAATAAACACAAAATAGAGCATGAATGCAAAAGGGAACTGGAATGTCACATTTTGCCTAAGTAATGGATTGTCACTTTGGCATCTACTGTGTCTTGTAGTTGTGCTCACCCCACTTTGACTTTTCCATATTTTGTTGTGTTACAAGCCAAGGAGTTACCACTTGATGTGCACAAGATGCTCAACATTTTGAAAGTGCAAAATATTCTTATTGTAGCACAAAAGTTAAGTAAACAAAAAACAAGCTGGAGCTTGTTGATTCCATAAGGATTTGTCCTCTCTTGCTGTGACATGCTTAGATAAGTTCTAGTGCAATCAACTGCCTCCAGAAGTCACATTCTGTGAGTAGCTGAATGGAGTCCCCCGCTGAGCAGTTCTGCAGCTGCATGATCTCAGAGTGCATGCTCCTCTTTTCGTGCTGCCCCAGACTTTGTTAGAGAGCATATCTAACTAACCAAACAGCATTGTGAATATCAAGGAGCTTTCCAAGCAACCCGGGAGTAGAATGGTTTCAAGCAGGGCCTTTCCCAGTGTTACGTGGAGAGGTAATGGACTGGACCCCAGACCTTAGCCATGCAAAGCAAATTGTGGCTCTGCCACTGAGCTACCCTCCTTCTCCTGTAGTTTCACCCAAGCCCATGATTAGTTCTCCGCACTCAGATTTGACATTGTTTTTGACACAGAGGTACTATCCACACACAGAACAATGTATGCCAAGCAAAAAGAACCCGAGAACTATAGACTCCATAGGCATCAGCAGACAGACAGAAGGGACAAAGATGCTGGGCTGACAATGATGGAGAAAATTCAAAGACCCAACTTATTTACTATGTTCATATTTTGTCTTTTTTCCTATAGGGAACTCAAGGTGGTTTATATGGTTGAGTGGAAACTAGAACCCAGATCACCCAAGTTCCAGTCTTGCACTCCAACCACTATTTCAAATGAATCGTTCTGAACCATCCATGGATTGTTGTAAACTGGCTGGAGAATTTCTGTTATTGGGTGGTACAGAAATAAAATAGAGAATTGCATAAAATAAGGGAATAAAAGTAAACAAAATATTTGCACCGTGCAAGAAACTTGTAGACGATAAGGGAAGGGTGGCACCTTTGTTTGAACTAATGCCCCTGGGGTGAAGGATGGAAGTCATTCTGCTGCTCTGCCCCATTTATAAGGTTATTAGAATAGGCTCCTGTATCATTTCTGTGGGTCACCACTAAGTAGGACTAGCAGTTGATACAACTGTGCAGTTCCTGGAAATTGGTCCTTGCCCCTAGCTAGACATCAATTGATAGATTGTGCTCTACTAGTTCTGGGACAGCAGCAGTTTCGAGTACTGGGACCAGTCTGGGATGTTTGTTGGGCCCCA